TTTTGTGCCTCATTATATCCTCCGAAGCTTTCAACGCGTATCTTGAGTAACATCACGGATTACCTGGTCACTTTCATACACCATCTACATGAGGCACGTTGCTTTCACGCTGAAGGGGGTATCCGCGGACTCTCACTAGCACCCAGTATTCACAATTGAGGTGTGCAGTTTCGATTCATACCTTTACGCCAGGAGCTGATCGTTATGCCCTACATCGATAGTCTATCTCAAGACCACCCAATACCTCGAGTCTCGGATGGAACTATGAGAATACAAGGAAAGATGAGGTATCTTGCCTGTTGCTTCCACTCTCTTTCTTTAGACGCTGATGCTTAGCCTCTATCTTCCAGCTTTGGGTAGAAGGGTTAGAATCTCGTAGCGTGACCTTCCCCACACCCTGATCCAGACCTATAGACTTTCTTTTCATAGGCTCGATTGTGCTATACCTCGCGATTTCGCTTAACGCCCATTTTGTCACATTTCTATGGATAATGGCTCATCCGCATTGTTCGGGGTAGAGGGCTTAGAGTTCGTGCTTATTTACCTTTTTCAGTTTGATACCATACTAATCGCTCCTAAAGATTGATTAAGCTTCCTGTCAAAGCCTTGACACCCCCGCTTTCGCAACAAGATGAGGGTGTACGTTCGTTCAACCTCTCGTGCGTTTATGCTAACGTTCTCTCCGGCCTAAAAAATTGTTCTGAGTACGTCTTCCCTAGTCCTTCAAAGGGTCGTGACCGAATAGCATACATATCGTGGACGATCTGGATTGTGGTATTTTAGTAAACTTTTCAAACCTTGAGGCCTTTATAACTCCCGTGTAGATTAGACATTGGAAGTAACGATACTGATCTTGCCCTCCGTTTTGTCCCTCGCAACCTGGAAAGAAGCCCGTAACAAAAAGCCATACCCAATGCCAGTATTGAACCACAAAATAGCCACTCTAGAACGATTATCACAATACCCGGTGTAGTAGGGGCTACTGGCATAGGCCGAGCCGGTCTAGCGGTCACGTGAGCACTCTCTATGTAGTCATTCCTGTCGTAGCTACCTTTCCCAATCGCATCCACCGCGTTAGCAGCAGCTAGGGCTTCCTCAGCCCCTCCTGGCCCACTCCATCTGGTGACGAGAGCGCGATTCGTCTACCACATCTTTTCTCGCCTCACCGCATTGCCATTCCCGCAGTTTCTCCCATTTTTCTTGCCAGCTCATCAGCACCTCGGCGCTCGGACTCGGACTCAGCACCCAGTTTACCACCGGAAAATCATCAGAACTCCTTGGAATTGAATCTCGAACTATCATGGACGACTTGGAACCTTTTGTTGGGCAGGAGAATGCAGGAGAGTGGTTGCAGAGATTTGAAGAGCTTGTAGAGACGAAGAAATGGTGGTGGGCAATGCTCGGTTTGGCTTGTCCGGCTTACTAAGCAGATTCCTCTTCGATTCCTGTCTCAATGCCCTCCCCATCGCTCAGCGCATCGCATAGATGCCGATTAACTTGCAAGCAAGTTCATTAAGGTAGTACCTCTGCTGTGTAACATTTAAGGCCAATTTGAACATTAGATTATCATGTAAATTGCTCTTTTCTACTGCAATCTTGCTGCAATCGGAGATTTTCATAGTTTCTGTTGTGACATTTTTGTTTAAACTCTCAGATTTCTTGCAAAAATACAAATGCATGATTATACGGTCCAGTCTGGGCTCATTTTTTTGAAGAACAACGGAGATTGTGATTGATTGTATCAAATAGTGCAGAAGTTTTTAGCATGTCAGACCAGCTGGGACGCTCACGCCCTTGAATTTTGACTGGCGTTATGCCCTTCAATTCCTCACTGGTAAGATAGAGGTCTATCAATGTACTAGGCAGCCTGTAGCGGTCGAGGAAAGACATTCAGGTCGCGACAAGACGCGTTGGCCCCGCGTCTTCTCGTCCATGATCTATCTATCTATCAGTTTTCCACGCCAAAAACCAAGCTCGAAGATCCTTTCTCCCCGTCACAACGACTGCCATCACCTCCCAAACAAGCCGCGGGATCGAAACTATATGCTCCTAGCAAAAAATCCTTCGCATTTAATTTGGGAAAATCGACCTCGAACACGATAAACAGGCAAATGACGTCACTGAAATTTTGAAAAATCCAAAAACTAATGCGGACAATTTTTTCTACATAACATCTAAATTCGATTCAGCACATAAACGACCTCTCCCGCTGTATGGATCGCGTGTGCAAGCGTGCTTTAGGTTTTGGGCGGGGCCAAACAAAACCAAACACTCAAGCGCTTCACCGGCAGTGCCCACCACCAGAAGAAACCGTGCACAAAAGCCCACCTATTACGGAAGAATATTGCGTTTCCGGCAGCCCTATGGGTCGACTCAATCCCCCCTAACTTGACCATATACTGGTCCTCCTTCCGTGCTCTTTTTGTTCGATATTGGGTCGACAGAGTCCAGGGAGAGGCCTTCAAAGACGAAATCAGCCTGCAAATAGGCATATCCCCACCAGCCAAGCTAGACGATACTGTTTCATCCTCTGATACCAGCATATTCCAAATCCTTACCGATGAATTCAGTTCCGACCACGACCGCGCACGGAGGATCGGGTACAACATTCTTGATCGTGAGGAAGACCCCGACGACAGGGAGCTCTGGTTTCGTGTTCTCTGGGACACCGCCTTGCAGATGGGGATGCAACAGGGGCGTGCTCAAGGTGTTGCAGAAGGATTGGAAAAAGGTTGGAAGGAAGGAAAGAAAGACGGATATGTCCAAGGTTGGAATGATGGTCGGGAATTCGGCTTTCAGGCTGGAAATGTTGTAGGAGTTGAAGAAGGTTGGAAAGAGGGGGTTGCCATGGGACGCAGGATGATAGATGCACCTGAACAGAAGGACACTGCAACCGACACTTCCGACCTTCACTTACGAACATACACCACTTCCTCCTCCCAGACTGACACCGACACACTCTCGCATGCCTCCATAATGACCCAGACTATACCAGAAGTCACTCCTCTCCCTTTACTGTCGACTTCGTCACTCAACTGGGCTGAAGAATCGGATACCATTCCCCCAGCTGTCCTCATACCTCGTTCATCATCACCACCACGCGACCTGACTGTGCTTCGATCATCGAAGTCAGTGTCACCATTTCACTCGCTCAAGCGCCGCAATGCTCGTTCTGTCCGTCTGGATAAGCGCACCCCTCACCGACGTTCAGTTATTCCACTTAATACCCATACCGACTCCCCTTATGTCTCACGCAAGCATCCACATGGTATTGGTCCCGGAAAGCCAGTTCACCTCGCTCACATACCCTCGTCTCACCGTTCATATCGAAAACCTCAAGATTCCTTGCCGCCGTTGGATTGGTATGGTGATCCTCGCCTCTTTCAGTTGGGTCAGATCCTACATCAGTTGGGTTGGGTTAGACGGTAGTTTCCTTGTGTTCGTCATGTTTAGGACGCGCGACGAGGACGCCGCGCATTTTTCGAAGGGGGCACATGTAGTAGGGGCTACTGGCATAGGCCGAGCCGGTCTAGCGGTCACGTGAGCACTCTCTATGTAGTCATTCCTGTCGTACCTACCTTTCCCAATCGCATCCACCGCGTTAGCAGCAGCTAGGGCTTCCTCAGCCCCTCCTGGCCCACTCCACCGGCGTGGTTCGAACACGCAGCTTCAAAATTATACATGATCTTGAGGAGCCTCACACTGTGTTATAAGCACTTTGGGGCGAGACGGATGGATGGGTCACTATGTGGCTTGAGATTCGCGTGAGGAAGTTAAGTCTTCAACATCCGGTATAGCTAATTGCGGTTATCGGAGATAAGTGAACCATCGGACTAAGCTTTTCACTGATAAAGAGGCGTGCAGCGATTTAGTTGACAGAGAAAGGAACCGACAAAACACCATACGATTTATGTGTAGTTTCCCCAGCCGATTCGAACGACTGACCTCGTGTAGTACAGAAACGATACGAGCATGCGCTGAACCCCTGAGCTAAGGAGGAGGATAGCAACCTTAACATTAAAAAAACTATACAGTACAACACCGATGAAGAAAACCAAGACGCGCACTTCGGTGATTTGGTGGGAGAGGCTCGAAAGGAAAATTCAACGTGACGTGACGGTGTGTTGACATAAAACTTCCTACCTCACTGTTGGATAGTTCGATCCAGATTCGAGCTGGAGGCCCTTTGAGTTGTTGCCTAATTCCATTCGTTAGCACCCTTTCCCCTTACCCGGCGAAAACATGTATGCAGCTTGACCACCCAACTCCTTATTCCTCGTCCCAAGATACACAATATGCTCACTAAGAGCTTCACCAACGCCAAGCCGATAAGTAACTTGGTTTGCGCCGGTGATGAGGACGACTTTTTTATAGGGTTGCTCAGTTTCTGTCATCAGTGGAAACGGTCAAAGGGCTGACGAAGTGGGCGTTAGGCATTTATACATACGAGGACATTAGTACGAACAACGCGCTGCGCTGGGAGCTCGTCGATCATGATGGTGATGGTAATGTGCTGTATAATTGATTGGTTCTTTTCCATCAATGATGACATGTGGGCGTTGAGGAACTCTATCACCATCGCGGCGTTATGCCCGCTTTATCAGCCGCTAGGGTCCTCAACACAGATTCATCCCCCGTTGCGGAGTTTAGCTCAGTTGGTAGAGCACAAGACTGTTACAACTCCAGGTTGTGTTCTTGTCTTGGGTCCCCTGTTAAAATCAGGCAGGTCGGATTACGGGGTAACCAAGCGTATTTTTCATAACATGAGCTGAAAAGAAACCGCATTCTTCACTATCCTCCGAGTCTCACTATGGAAAACATGAGGTATTGGCCTAGGTGAATCTTTTCACAGTGAAACCCATTCGCCAAGTATACCATTTGAATCATTGGGATGCCTGGTCGCTTCTATCTGCGTGTTGGGCAGCACTATCACCACCGCCTATTCTATCCACCGCCGTGTTTCGCAGACTATGGCATCGAGAGCCCAGAGCCTCGCATCACCGACCTTAGCTCAGTTGGAAGAGCACAAGACTGTAATGGGTACATTTGAAGCTTGTATCTTGGGGTCGCCTGTTCGAACCAGGCAGGTCGGAATAGACGGCAGTTAGAAACGGTGTTTTTGCTAGGGTAAGACCGCGAAGCGTTGTAGGAAAGTCAACCTCCTTCGCATGTGGTATTCCACCAGAGATAAAAAAAACGTAGGGGTTACGGAAGGTAAAGGCGCTGAGTGTGATGTAGAAGGCTTTTAGACGACGTATCCCCACCCCTCAGGTATGCGTTCCTACCACATATGCACGGAAATCTGTATTACACAGCAGTGCCGACCTTGACTGAGTTGGAAGAGCACAAGACCGTAATGTGAAAGAATCTCCTATATTGGAGTTGCCTGTTCAAGCCAGGCAGGTCGGATTTCAACCACTCGTATCGAGTGATATTTTTTAAAAAATAGTTTATATCAGTAATCGACCACAGAAGGAAATTGTAAGGTTTTGAAGTGTATCCGGTGAACTGCCCACGCAAGGGCTGTAGAACTTGAAGGTAGAAGCGCCGATTTTAGCTAAGTAGATAGGAAAATCAGAACCGTAAAAGGCCTTTTAGACGGGGTACCCGAGCACCTATCAAATCAATGATCATGACCCAAACCCAAAACAACAGCTCACCGCCGACCTTAGCTCAGTTGGAAGAGCACAAGACTGTAATAGGCTGGCAATGTCCTCATCTTGGGGTCGCCTGTTCGAACCAGGCAGGTCGGATATACTTGTCTATTCGGCTCGTTTTTTTTTCATTTATAGAGCAATCTACAGTACATACAACAAGGAAGGGTAAGGTAAGGTCCGAACCCATCTTCGGTGTTGTAGCAAATACGCCCTCTCGTGATAGACGCTGCGGAACTTGACCTTTTTCTTTCCATGGGTGTCAAGTAAATATATATTAGTACCGTGCCTAGCTTTGAAGCGACGTACCCACAATCACGGGGTTGCTTAGTACCACATTCCTCTCCCTCATGTTGCTTGCCGGACGCAAAGAAACCTCTCCCATGAGTTCGAAAACGTAATGAAGCCTTGATAGAAGCAGGAGTGAGTCATGGGGCAGTTTCAATCTCATGAACGTTACCCCAAGGGCGTGGGCGTGGGTCGGAGGAGGTCGAAGCGGTGACGATGAAGTAGGGATCGGGTGTTCATGGGTATAAATTGTGGATGAGTAGCTGGGCGTGAGTGTGCGTGTGTGGGGAGGAGGGGTGGTCTAGGTTGAACGAATTGGATGTAAGCCCGTGGTATTTGAAGGAAAAGAAGCCGACATACCCAATAAACGATGCTCCTATCCCTATCCTCCCTATACCTCTGAATAAACGGAACCGTGGAGGCGATGACTTCGGTGCTTGCAGTTTCGACGATGAGAAGATGTCAGCTTCGTCGTTGGAGGACGTGCTAGTAGGGAGCGGGAAGGTCAGTGCATAACAAGCGAAGGCATGTCGAATGACGTACCTCAACTTGTGTAGCTTCAAACGTGCCGGAAAGACAGGTGGTGTGGTGTAGAGTGCGACCAGAGGATGGCTGAAGCTATGCCTCGTCTTATTGTGACTCTTGGTGGAGATGGAGGCCTTGAAGATGTGAACGCGTGCTAGTTGGAGGAGCCTCTGGAGCTTCGTGCGGGCGACGACGCATGTAGGCGTCTTGGGCGCTGTAGATGGGATGAAAAGCTTGCTTATGAGGTAAGCGGGAGAACATGCTAAATGGGAGCGAAAAGTCACGTTCATAGTTCCAGCGTTTGGAGGTGTGTTGGATGACGTACATATAGTAGAGTAGGGCTAGAGATTCTCCGCGTAGCGATCTGGGACAGTCTGAGCTGAGGTCTTTCGTCGGGTCTTTTCCTAGAACGATAGTGTTCCTTGTCTTCTGTTGTAGCGGCGAAGGAACAGAGGTATAGAGCGATAGCGAGAGGACTTGGAAGAGTGTGTTCGCGTTCAGGCAGAGAACTGGATCGAAGAGACATGATGAGCTCAGCGTAGACCTCGAGAGGACTTGACTACGTACCCGCATCCAAAGCGTTCCGTTATCCTCTGCCATCCACATCCGAGCTTGCGTGCGATGAAGGTTCTTGTGACCACCAGACCCAGCAGGAAATGCAGGAGAAAGTTCATCAAAAATGGTTACTGTAAGAAAACCACCGTTAGCGGTAGCCAGGCCTCCAAGACTTTTGCCATCCCAACAATTGCCCCTAAATCCTGCTCTAACCATCTTCTAAATCCATTAGCAACGACAAGAACAGCAGACTGTAAGTGTCCCTTTCGATGAAAAGATGATATAGTCAACCCAGATGGGTATGAAAGGGAAGGAAGCGAGGAAAAGAAAAGCCGCGTGTTGCCAGCACATCCTACGTAATTGGTAACCGGTCTGTATGTTACTGGAAGAGAATCGTTCTCGCTTGCCCCATGGCTGAGTTGGTTACAGCGTCCGACTGTTATTGCATTATTGAGCAGTTAACACATCGGAAGGTCGTGAGTTCGAGCCTCACTGGGGCAGCCTATTGGGAAAGTGTGCCGTAGTTTTTATAACTGAATACATTGATAAACATGAGCACCCTGGAACGAGACGATCTCCACTCAGTGAGTTCAATACCCGAGGAACATCATGCATATGACTAAGACTAGGTACAATGTGCCAGATCACAACTACCTCGAAGTCTCGCTCCTTACAACGCCAGCCCTTTCCTTTCGATTGCTGCATCCCTTAAGTTTAATAGTATATCTCGCAGTCGTGAGGAAAGAGAACAATGCATCTATCATGTAAACATAAGACATTGTCTTGAGATTCCGTCTCAGGCAAAACTGAAACACGGTTGTCATGTATTCCTGATAAAGTCCAGTGAATTACCTGGCTCACAGAATGCACCGGACTTGCATTCGGGCAGGTAAGGCAATAAAAAAGAATCAACTTTCTTTCTCTGTTCCGTTACAGGGAATCGAACCCTGGGCTATCGCGACTTCGTTGATGGCGACAGAATGGATGAGAGGCGATAATGTTAGCCACTACACCATAACGGAATACTTGTGCACTCTAGGCATCTTGTCCACAACAGACGTTTCTGTCCGTTAGGGAAATCTACGTATTTTATTTTGAAGGCAATAAAGGACTGCGGGTATATTCTCAGCGTCCTAATAGCCTCTTACGCTTTTGGTCAAACGTGAGAGCTAAGATCATATCAGATCGGTGCCTACACCAATGCTCCCATTGAACGTTTCATCCTGGTTCAAAAAACGCCAACATGCTTACACTCGGTCCCAGTAAGTAAACGAATGAAAATAACCTTCACACACATTTCCGTTGCAGGGAATCGAACCCTGGACTATCCCGAGTCGAACTCGGGAACCTAAATGAGAGGCGATAACGTTAGCCACTACACCATAACGGACTATGTTCGTCGTTGCAGCACCTTGCCCAGATCTCACGATTCCCTGTCAGTGCACGCACACACCCCGAGGTAGAAGCAAGAAATGGTATCGTATGGGAGACGTCGAAGTGTGATGCACCTCACTCTCGACATGTAGCACGCTTAGTGGATGCTTATTCCACTATGTCTTTATGAATTCGAGGGATATCTATTAGTGCTTGACACAGGCAAAAAATTTAGATAGCAATGCTCCCAATATTTCGTTACAGGGAATCGAACCTTGAGCCTACCGCGACGATTTTATTACGAAGGCTGACCTTGCGATAATGTCAGCCACGACACCATAACGGATTAATGACTGTCTGTGGATCATTCCCCTTGTAAACGTTTTTTGGTTCACGCTAGAAAATTGAATTAATTGTTGTCTTTCGGAGTCACACAGCAGTTGGTGTATATCTTTTCCAACATGCTATCGTATGTAATATATTCCCTCTGAAGACTCGGATGGTCACGGTATCTACGTCAGGCGTTTATCATCGATTGTTTCCCTCGAAGAGTACTACCACATGTTTCTCCCTGTAACATGCACTGAAAGACTTCGTTGATATTCGTAAAAACCCATCTTTGACGGTTCAGGTGCTAGTAGCCTCTTACGCAGTGCATGGAACCCGTATCTCACTCCAACATTCCATCTAGGTTCCAAAGGGCTAACATGCTTACAACCGATCCCAGTAAGTAAATGAACGAAAATGATTAGATTTTGATCCCCAAATTTCCGTGACAGGAATTGAACCCTGAGATATTGCACACAGGTGATTTAGTTAGCCATTACACCATAACGGAGTCGTGAAGATTCTATGATGGTGTAGATGCGATTAGCTTACAACGCGCTCCGAATATAGAGATCATTGTGTTCCCGCTCCATCCGGGTTCGAAGGAGCCATACTCACTCCCGGTCTCAATAGGTAAATGAAAGAAAATAACTGAATGCCGACCCTTATATTTCCGTTACAGGGAATTGAACCCTGAGCTATCGCCGAGCTGATAAACTACGTATGAGAGGCGATAATGGGAGCCATTACGCTACAACGGAAGATCCCATGGTGGTATGAATGCGGGGTGCTGTCGCTGTCTCGTGTTTCAAGCTAGAGTCTACAATTGCACTTCCGAGTCTAACGTTACCGTTTCCAACATCCTATCCACCTCGAAGTGAGTATGTCATTCTTGTGATCAACCAACTGGATGGCATGCGTTATGCGTCTAAAACGAATTGTTTCCTATGAAAGCGCAATGAAAGACCGCGACACTGCGGGCATAAAGCCTATTTCACTGGGTGCATGCACCAATACAATGCAGCGAAATATCGATGACATATAGGTATTTAATTGACCACAACTTATTGAACACCCACTGTGCTGAGCAATAAAAAAACCTATAATACCATCAATATATCATCATGGGGTTAGTGGGTCCATGCACCCAGTGTTGCAACAATTCGTACTAGTATCTCTGACCACGTTTTGTATGGGGGACCCGGAGCTCACTCATACTTGTGGAATAACCATCAAAGCGGTGCCCTCCGATTTTGCCCGCTCCATCCACCTTTCAAATACCGAGATGCTCCCCCGCATGGTAGGGAAATAATCCAAGAAGTGAACGAAATACATTCACACACCATTGAGTTGCCGTTACGGGGAATCGAACCCCGAGCGATATGTAGAGGTACTGAATGCTCCTGTGAGGCGATCAGCTGTAGAGCCACTATATCAAAACGGAGTGACCTCACAAAGATGCTACAATGTGTCTAGTCTTGTAGTGAGCTACTTGTCTTGGTATGATATTGAGAAACACACCAATCATGTCCATAATCCAGTGTGTACATTCCAGTGTGTAACTATTCCATAGCAACGCGCTCCAAAATCGCGCCAGTCAGACCACCAATCAGGTGAAATCACGGTGATTTCTCCTGCGCGGTTGC